GTCATTTCACATTTGTTAAATTCCTGAACTACCAGTCAGGTAATGGCTGTCGACTGATAATGACAATGGCGAGCAGTAATTCTGTTTGTGCTGGTCAAAGCTTTGGTGTCCAGACGAGCATAAACACCCAAACAAACGGTCCAGAGAGCACGTAACCTCGACATCTATAGCTGGCCTCAGCGTCCACACAACACGCCTCCAGCTTCCTGGCGCTGGCCGGGCGGAGTCACCCTAATCACACATCCATATCTCTTATCAGCGCCCAGAGGGGCCAAATCATAACTTCCTCAGAGACAAAGTCATTTAAAAAGGGGAAGAGGCCATTGCCTTCTGTGGTCAAACTCAAACAGGAGCCCGGCAGATACAATCGCTTACGTAAACGCTGGGAGGCCTCCAAACGTGGAAACTGAAGTCTTTCACCAAACACGCAGGCCGAGCAGAAAGTGTATTGTTGTTTCTGACAGGTGTGGACTGTCGGTTTGTTCCTCATAATTCATGTGGTAATTAGGTCAGATATGGATTTTACACATTCCTAAACCCACGACTGGTTTGTTTCTCAGAGAACACTATACACACATTGCGTCATTGTTTGTCCACATTTCAGTGACATTCTCTAATAAATCACTGCAGACATTTCTTGCTGCTCTGACATTGGTGCTGGCGCTGCGTTAGCCAGTTAGCATAAGTTAAGCAAGTCTACAGGCAACAGCAGTCAATGTCAGCAGTTTCCTTTATTTTAAAAAAGCCTGTTGTGCGCAACCATCCTCATTTAGGAAGATGCTACACAATTCAAATGAAAGACTTGCACAAAATAAAACCAAATTATATATTTATTTTTTTTAAGTCCCGAACTCCATGAAGCATCATCGACCCATGTGTGTTTAGCAATTGGAAACTTGATGACCTCACAAAACACGTCTTTAGCGCCATAACTCAAGAATCCGTGCGCTGATTACGTCGAAGTTTGGTATTTAACCGCCATAATCACAAAGCCTGGTGGTTTTAAAAGGAATTTCACTTTTAAAAACTGCTAAATTTCACCATTTATCAGGTCCAGAAACTGAACAAATTGTCGGTTTGTCAGCTTTGTCTTGGAATGAATTGTGCGCCGTGCAAGTCCATCATAAAAATGAACCAAATGCGAGTTTAAAATCACTTTATTCCACATCAGAATCGGAAATATGTTATTGCCTAATTTTCTTTTTATCAAAATTTACCAAAAGATTTCACACTGCTTGGTGCAACGGAGAGGCTGTGGCTGATTCAGCTTTTTCGGCTGAACTGCAGGCTGCGTACATTCATTTTAGAGAGACTGAGAGGGAAAATGAAACAAACTGGGTCAATAAATAAATGCAGCACGGCTCAGAAACAGTGAACAGAGGAGCAAGTTGTTGGAAGACACATCCAGCATGGTGAAACGTCTTTCTATAGCTGATGTGCAGAGTAATTTGAAAACACTGAGTCTCTAGAGGTTGTAGAAATATAACACTCATCTGTTATGCTATTCACAATTACAGGTTGTTGCAGCTTTACAACAGGATGGCAGGATTGAATTAAGGCTCCTTTATGTTGCTTTTTGTTTAGGTGGCAGCTTTTCATCAAACACGTTAAACAGAACACTGGAGTGCACTTAAAATGACAAAATGATCCCCAACACTTGGACAAGAAATCCGTTATTTTGTGTGGAAACTGATGCAGAGAATTAGAAGAGGTTCAACGGATAACAAAGCTGCAATGAAACGTTTCTCAGCATTAAAAAAAAGAAAAAAGAAAGAAAAAAAACGTTTAGGTAATCCGGGATGTTTACAATACGCAGTGAAAGAAATCATTTTCTCAGTCTGGCTGCACAGCTTTAGACGAGGATTTGGATTTTCTGAGAAAATATTTGCCCACCACAACCTTCCCTGAAATGTTAAACCTGCTCCCTCCGTGCAGAAAGAGGCCCGTCGCAGTTAGCAGCTAGAATACCGCCAAGGGCATTTCTTGTTTTCATATTCAGACAGCATGAAATATGGCCAACATTAGTCTCCACTAAAGAACAACAGCAGCCGTTTGCCCGTGACGGATCGGTTCTTCAAACACTTCTTGTTGTTGTTTTTTTTTTTCTTTTACTGCCTATTTGTTCCTTTCAGCTGCAGCAAAGGAAAAGAACCTCATTCGCGTTTTATTTTATGTGACGTTTCAAAACTTTTGCTTAAGATTACCTCCACAGCAGGACGGAAACTTGGCCTGTGATGGGGTCTCGCTCCCCCCGCCGGCCCGGGGGTCCAACACAGCATAAAGCAGATGGCCCAGATATGTAAACACTGAGGAAGGTAGAATTCAGTGTGGCAGCCTTCGAAACGACAGAGGAAGACGGGAACAGGCCAAATTAAATCTGAATGGTAGAACACAGGTGGATTAGCATAAGCGTGTTGACCCTTTAAATAACCGGCTAGTTAGGTGCTGAGCCCGTTTTCCGGCTTCGATGTGACATTTGAGACAGAAAAAGGATCAAGTTTGCTCACTGAGATCTGTAAACCCACTAACATGTCACTCTCCTGCTGGCCCGACACAGAGAAGCACAATCCGTCGCTTTGCAACCTCGAGGGTCACGAGTTAAAAGTCTTTTAAACCTGTTTTCCACTTTAAACAGGTCCTAATGTGCTGCTTTAGGGCAACAGTGGCTTCTGCAGAAAACCTTTGAGGTCAAGGGGAAAAAAAATCTTACCGGGGAAACCGAATGATTGTTATTATTAGAATTATCTCGGGGCCCTCGAGGAAAAACATTCAAGCCCGAATCCCTGTGGGACAGACGTGGATAGAAACGGATCGCCGGCCAAACTCAGATGTAAAAGAATACGAAGCACAATCGGATGAAAAGCTCCAGAACAAAGCAGATTTATTTTAATTCCTCGCCATGCTACGAGGTGTTTGGGTGTCAAAGCGGCTTTCTGGAACTCGGAGACGCCAGCATGTAAATAAAATATCTCATTGAAATGCTAAAATCTTGGAAGGCAAAATCAGCAAAGAGCACAGGTTTGGTTCTTTATTTCATCAAAAGAAAAAGAAGCAGTGTTTTGAGTTTTCTGCTGCATCATTTCAACTCAGTTTAAATGTGAAAGGCACTCAGTCTGAAAGCTTCATCCCTAATACAGATGTAAGTCATGGAAAAGATGTCACAAATATTTAGTTTCATTCTTCAATTCTGCTAAAACGTTTTCTAAAACTATAACTACCACCTTAAACTGTGGTTTACATCCATCATCTACAGGTGTTGCCAGTTCTGGGGGGGAAATGGTCTTTTCACATTTCTACGGCCTCCACAGACTATGTGATGCATCAACTCTATAAAGATGTTTCACCATGCAGAATGTATCTTCCAACAACGTGCTCCTCTGTGCACTGTTTCTGAGCCGTGCTGCTGTTATGTCATTGATCCAGTTTGTTTTATTTTCCTCTCAGTCTCACTAATACGTTTCCATACGTGTCTCTGAGTGTTGGTCACAGCTGAGTCATTCGTGGCTTCTCAGTTGCGCCAAGGAGTGCAGAACTCCTCGTAGAATTGGGTGCAAACGCTTAATTTGTCTTAAATTTTGCAATGAGACATGTAGAATTCAATGATTTTGATGAATTGCCACAATTTTAAATTAAGATTTAGTTCATTTTTCAGCCTTTTTTGCCTTTTGGAAAGTTGAACATCTGACAATTCTGTTTCCATCCATCCATCATCTATACACCGCTTAATCCTCACTAGGGTCGTGGGGGGCTGGAGTCTATCCCAGCTGACTCAGGGTCAGGGGTGTCCAATCCTGGTCCTCGAGGGCCACAATCCTGCATATTTTAGATGTGTCCCTCTTCCAACACACCTGATTCAAGTGATCAGGATCATTATCAGGCTTCTGCAGAGCTTGATGATGAGCTGATCATTTGAATCAGGTGTGTTGGAAGAGGGAAACATCTAAAATATGCAGGATTGTGGCCCTCGAGGACCAGGATTGGACACCCCTGCATAGGGTGAAGGCAGGGGACACCCTGGACAGGTCACCAGTCTATCACAGGGCTACACTTAGAGACAGACAACCAAGCACACTCACATTCACACCTACAGACAATTTAGAATCACCAATTAACCTCAACAAGTTTTTGGACTGTGGGAGGAAGCCGGAGAACCCGGAGAGAACCCACACTGCACGGGGAGAACATGGAAACTCCACGCAGAAAGATCCTGGTGCCCCCACTGGGACGTGAACCAGCAACCTTCTTGCTGCGAGGCAACAGTGCTAACCAACTGCGCCACCTTGCGGCACAATTCTGTTTCCGCCTTTGAAAAAAAAAGAAAAAAAAAAGTGTAATTTGGGCAATTTTGTAAAAAGACAACATGCCCTTCAAAGCCGGCGGTGGCTTTTGGGAGTTCAGAAGGTTAAACTGTCCTCATTACACCTGCAGTTAAGGCTGTCCAAGACCAGCAGCAAAAAGCTTTTGTTCAAAGTGCATGTGTACTCCCAAAGCTCAGAATGTCAGTTTTACATGTATGAGAAACTTTCAGGCGTGTTTTACAGAAGGCACACCTTTGGAATCGGTTGTTTTTCGCGGGTATCATTCCTCGGTGGGCGTAATTAGCAGATGGTTAGCATGTGGGCGCCGTCGCGTTGATCCGGCCGTCCATAGCAACAGCCTCAGAGGGAAAACTCTGGCAGACAGATGGAAGATGAAGAGACGGGAAACATGAAAACCCTCGTTCCCCTCCTCTCTCAGAAGCTCCCTTCCCCACTCTCACCCAATTAGCACTAATTAAAATGGCCTCTTCAAGGAGTCACAGATAATTAATAGCCTGTATGGGCTTCCAGTTTTTCTCCCTCAATGTTTCCTTTTTTTTTTTTTTTTACCCAAATGCAAATGTAATTAAACTTCATAAACAGACGACTGATTAAGTGCAAATATTTGCCCTCTTAAAGCGGGCGGAGCATGAACTGATTATAATTGAATCAAATGCTGTTTTTCCTTCTCCGTGTTTGCAGAGATTGAAGCCAAGGAGGCCTGTGATTGGCTGCGAGCCGCCGGCTTCCCCCAGTATGTGCAATTATTCAAAGGTAAATACGAGCCCGCTGAGGTAATCCTGAGCCACGGGGCCCTCAGAGTCAACGGCAGCACGATGCGGAGCAAATCCAGATGAGGCCTCAGACGGCGTCTCATTGGTTCATCCGTCTTTTTTGTGTTTCAGACTGCAGGTTCCCCATCGACGTCGAGCGGGCGAAGCGCGATCACCACTTCCTGGATAAGGACGCCCTCGACTCGCTCTGCAGGTAACGAACATGTGATATGTCATGAACACCTTTTAACAACTACATACAACCACAAAGAAAAGAAATACAAACTAGAAATACAAATTGAGAAAGCGTTCATTAACCTCCGTAGGTTTGCAATATTAGAAGAACAAACATGTTGCCAGATGAAACTGATTTAAATGAAGCTATAAAGACAATTTCAGTGTTTTCTGATCTTAACTTGTTAACTTAATTTGGGGCTGCATTTAAAAAAGGGTAGTTATGGGTTAATCAGTACAGGTTTGCGTAACCCAACCAAATAAGCTCCAAAATGACCTGCTTCAGCATCAGTCTGATCTGTGGCCAGTTCGATGCTTCACTTTGGTGTTTCAAGCTTCAAGCTTTGTTTACATTCATGCCGCTGGTTCAGGCATTAAACTGGCTGCCTGTTGGCCAACGGTTGCTGCTGTTGTGCATAAAACACAGCCCAATCCTTAAAAAACAAAGAAAAGAGGATTTTTAAATTCAATTAAAATTCTTTATCCATTTTTTTCCAGACCACACTTTGACCTCTTTATTTTCTTAGAAATTCTCTGGAAAGTGTTTCTGTAACTGATGGCTGTGATCTCCAGCATTGGCCTCCTGTAGCTCATCTAACTCTCTCTTCTTCCTCCTTCAGGAGATTAATCACTTTAAACAAATGCGTGGAAATGAGGCTGGAGCCGCGGAGATCAAAACGCCGGGTGAGTGCCGAGAGCGAACACCGACAAACTCGAACACAGCGGGACTCTGGCGTCGCAGCCGCGGGGAGGCGTCGCGCCACCAATGCTGCTGGCTAAGCATCACTTAATGCAATCGATTGATACCAGCTGATCGGGTCTCAGCGACAGTTTCTCTTTGTAGGAGAGAAAATTATGTCCAGAAGAAAACCAGACAGACAGAATTAAAGCTTTATTGTCTTCACTTTTCCACCCTTTTATCATTATATACCACATGTGACAAACTTGTTAGACACAACAAAAGTATGTGTAATGAAGTCTTACTTTAAGAGGTCAATTGGAAAGAAATTCTTAATTTAAGCAGCACTAATTTCTAGGAAAAACTTTTAAGATTACATAGTAGGCAAAATAATGAATTAAGACGATCATATTTTAGCACCTTTTCCCTCAAAATGCTCCCGCCATCGAGTTAAATTAATGTTAGCAAAGATGAAACAAGCTGAAGACAGTTAAAAATCTCGACAAGTTTGAAAAACATGTTATCTTTAACAAATTGAGAAAATTACACCATGAATCAGCCAAAAACTGGAAAAAAAAAAAAAAAAGAGTTGTTAGATTTTTAACTTTCCGAAGGTTCTTTGACTAATCATCTGTAAACGTGTGGTTTTGTCGGGAAAATGAACCAAATCGGAGCTTAAAATCAGGATATTCCATCAATGTCACCTTATTCTACTTGAGTCACTTAAAAAATATGCAAAGATAGACCAGATTACACCAGATCCTGTAAAGCATTTTAAATACTGAGCTCCTCGCACAACCCAGAAGCCATCAGTGACTCAGCTGCAACCAACTGCTACGTCACAAAAATTCTGTAAATTTTTGGTTGATCGAGAGATTCTAGAGACACTGAGAGGGAAAATATAAAACATTGGGGATCAACAAAATAAATGCAGCATGGCTCAAAAACAGCAAACAGAGCAGCAAGCTGTTGGAGGATCCATTCAGCTGGTGAAGCATCTTTCTGCAGCTGGTTTGCAGTGTAGTAGTGAAAAAGTTTGTAGAAGTGGTAGAAATGTAAACAGTTAAATATCTGTAACACGTAGCGCTACAGTTTCTAACTTGCATTGGTAAAAACGCTGGATATGTCGATTCCAGGTTTTTCAGATTTTGATAGATACAACTGTGCCATCCTGCACAGAAGACGTTTCTGAGTTCTCCCAACCTTTCGTCATGGTTCTGTTTCTACAGAGGAGCAGGACTCATTATATTCAATAAAATGAACCAACAATGAGCAAAAATGTCACTGGAGCAAAAAAAAAACTGCTTGGTGCTAAATGCAACCTATGGTCAAAATCAAAGCTACAGAGATATGCTAAGTTTTATGCAGAGCCAGTACAGGCAAATGCTAAGGGCGCCAACCTCCACAGGGGGCGCCACAAGCTTACCCGGCTAACTGACATGTATTCAGGCAAGTATGTGTCAACAAGCGCCAATACAGTTTCTCTACCTTTAGCAGCAAAGACACTACGTTAGCGATAGAAGGTAGAAGACGTTAGCGAAAACGTTAGCGTCTTAGCTGCTAACGTTCGGCGCAAAAACGTTACGTTAGCGTCTTAGACGACGGTAGAGAACCTGCATCGGCGCTTGTGGTTAAATATTTGCCTGAATACACGTCAGTTAGCCAGGGAGTGTCGCAAAGACTTGTTTCTTCAGTTTCATTTAGTGTGTTGTTTATACTTAAGTAAAAGCTTGAATACATGCATACAGTTTGTGTTACTGTATGAAAATTATGAGTGAAATTCACTGTGATGCTCGGGGCGCAAACTACAATCTTGCCGAGGGCACCAAATTGGTCAGGACCGGCCCTGGTTTTATGGCAAAAGAGCCAAAATTTGAGTACAAAGCATTGTTGTGTGCTTGCAGGTTCTTTTCATTCCTATGTCCTGTTTGAATTTGGGAGTCTGAACTGTTTGTCTTCTCCCTCCAGGGAGACGACTGCGACGAGGAAGACTTCTGCGCCATCAGCCCCAATTGGACCTACGACCGGCGGACGCGACAGTGGCGCCGCCTCGACACCACCGTGGACATCCTTCGCTTGCCCGACAGCCCGACCCGGCCCAGCGACCGCCACGATGTCTGCTCCATCCACAGCTCCAGCAGCACCGAGAGCGAAGGCCACGATGGCCACCACAAGAGTCCCAGAGAACCGGCCACCGCCTCCACCACGGTCACCGCCACGGACGACCAGGAGACCAGTAGGAGCTCCTCCCGCTGCTCCTCCACAAACAAGACCCTGTCCCTGGACACTTCCTTCAGTGGACCCCCCTCTCCCGGAGGAAGTGGTGGAGGATCGTCCACCATGAGTCTGGAGGCTGAGGGATCCTTCCCAGACAAACCACCCAGGAAGAAGGGCACCACTCTGCTGAGGAAGATGGAGAAACTGAGGCTGAGGGGAACAGCCAGCTTCCTCTTGTCCGATCATAGCGGTGGGAGCGGCAGGCGTCTTATAAGTGAACCGGTTCTGGTCCAAGAAGAGGAGCCGTCAAGGTGAGGACTGTGGATCCTACAAAGATCTACTTTTCTCAGGATCCTCGGTGGATCTTTCGTCCAGCAGAATCCAAAAGGGTCATTTCATTAAATATCAATCGATGCCTCACACATGACCTCGTCCGAATCAGCACTTTGTTTTTGTACAATAACTTTAGTAAAATTAATGAAGTCATGAAAAATTTTACTTTCATACTATAAGTTCCAGGCCTTCAGAGTACACAGGGTTGGGTCGAAATGTTGCACTTTTTTTTAATTTACGTTATTTTTTCCAGCATTTTTAAACCTCATCAGTACGTTAGACAGACACGTGCAATTTTGTAACCATGAAAAGAATCCGTTAAAAACTGCAAACAAACGACTTCTACATGCACTCCAGGTCTCTAAAGACAAAATCACATTTTTGTTCAGCATTTTTACTTTTACTATAACCAGCTTGTGTTATCAGTTTCCTGATGAAAACTTTGCACTAAACAAAAATTGGATTTTGTCGTTGGATTGTGACACCTTGAGTCGATGCAAAATTCCTCTGGTTTCATTTTTAAACAATGTGTTTTTATTGCCTGAAAATTTCATGTCGTTCTACCGAATATAAAAGCTTATGAGAGCGTTAAAACGATTAAAATAAAGCAAATTTAAATGTGCAAAAATTCAACTCACCCCTTTGTATGTCAAGGTTCTGTACCTCTGAAAATATATCTTTTTTTTTTTTTTTTTAATACACTGAAGGTATTGCACAATAAAAATCAGCTGATTCTGAGGCAGAAGCTTTTCTCAGATGTGGTTAATTTCATATGGAATGACTCGAACATCTTCAGTCCAGTTTTAATCTTTAATCAGAAAGGCTCTCGTGCATCTTTAACAGTAGACTTCTGTCTTCCTGAATGTCTTCAGTCTGCAGGATCGATCCGGCAGCCAAACGTCTTCGTCGCCTTCGTCTCCTCACACCACCAGCAGCGGCAGCAGCAGTAACAGCCAATCAGAGAGCAGCAGCGCGGTGAGCACGCCCAGTCCGGTCACCCGGGTCAGGAGCAACTGCAAACGCTCCAACAGTGGTGTTGGCGATGCAACCAGTCGGAACAACCAGAACCACACAGGAATGGAGGTCAGTCCCTGGAGAGCGACCTTGAACTTTCAATTTTACCTGTAATGTACTTGCAGGAGCTTCAACACACTTAAAAGGAGGAAGACAAGCAACAAAAGTGGACTCTTTGTGTGTTTTTGTCGGTCTTAATAGCTTGTAATGAAATGTAAACAGCATTAAGTTTGTCCGTGCATTAGGCAGGTAAATGGCAAAGAAACAGAGGGAAAGCAAACACTGATTTAGAGTAATTACATTTGACTAGGGATGTTCTGATCAAGTTTTTTGGCTCCCAATCTAACCTGAGTCATTAAATATTTAGAATCCACTGATACCGAGTCCTGACCTCATACTATTCTCCTAGATAAAACCCACTTCAAGTACATCGATGTCATTTACCAAAACTGCATTTCTGTGTCAAAGCTGTTCACTAATGTTATAACGGTGGTCAGAAACCTTGTTGTAAAGCTCCAGAAGAACACGGTCCACGAGCTCCAAAAGATGGGAAAAAAACCTGTATTCTCTACATGCATGTCACAAAATGTGTCATAGATCAGCTGTAGTACCTGGTTGTTCCACCAGGTGGAGCATGTTACTGTTTAATACTGTAGAGATCAGAGGAAGCGTCGCTCAGACTACAGGCAGTTCATGTTAGCCAGCAGAGAGCATTGTGGGAGTTTAGCTGGCAACGGGCACCATGACAAAGCCTTCTGTGATTTATTTAGGAAACTATTTTAAATCTGCATCCCTGACGTCCTGCCACAAGTCGCACTCTCTCTTTATGAAACCTGCATGACTCTTGATCTAAACAAAGACTTGGACTTAGGTTCATGTCGATACCAATCAGTTAATTGTCAATCTTGGACATTATTGCATTTGACAGATGGTGGCACTTTCTATTATGTAATGTGTTTTTTAATCTACATAGAGGTAAGTAAGTAATCTGGTATTTTAACTGCTGTCTAGTCACTCATTGAAGCGTCTGTGTACCTTCTTAGGACTACAGGAACCAGATCAACAACAACAACAACAGCAGCCACGAGAACCTGGTCTTCCAGATCCCCCACGGACACAAACCGGGAACCTTCCCCACCTCGCTCATGCACAAACACGCCATCCTGTCGCCCATCATCGACAACACCTCCGTCAACTGGAGGACCGGCAGCTTCCACGGTTACCGGGCGCGACACAGCTGCCGTCGGGGCATGTCGTCTCTGGCCGGCGGCGACCGGGGCCTCGCCTCGCCGTCATCGTCCTGTGACGTCCCCAGTCCACTCGCTCTGCTGGACCACCGGCTGAGCGTCTACGACAACGTACCCAACGACCAGCAGCTGTCTGAAAGCGAAGGAGGCAGCGGCGGGAGTGGCAGCGAGGAGTCGGAGGTGGGTCACATGATTTTTACCACACTTACATTTACTGTTGTATTTCATACTGTAAATAGGGACTTAGTTTTTTATTTTATTGCCATTCTTCTCAAGTGGGAATAAAGTTAGAAGAACCCACAACCAACGATGCCGTCATCATCTATATATAAAAACTGTAATGTTAGGTGTTACGATGGCATCTAGCTGACAAGACTAGTAATGGAACATTTGACTGAATACTTGTTTTATTTGCTGTTATACATTAAATTAAAAGAACAATCAAATAACCATCAGATTATTTGATGGGCTCCTTACCCTTTGGTGGGGAGCCAGTAGACGAACTGTAAAAAAAAGAAAAAATATGCAATAAAATACCACTAATTTTCGTGCAACATGTGTACTTTCACACTTATTTGGATTATACTTTTGCATTTCTGCTTAAATACTACTGAAAAAAGTAAAACATCCGAGTACTTTCTCCAACATTCAGGCCTACACACTGTACTTACTGTGTTTTTGTGTCACTTTACTGGGATTATATTCACATATGGATGTTTCAAAATGTCATAGCAGGCCACGGAGGGATAAACAAGCCATAAAATCCTTCACTAACACAACACAGATCCATACAAATCCCAAATAAAACAGGCAACATATAAAGGAGTCTTTCTTTCTTTTGGTCTTTGGCTCTCCTGCCGCTCTACTAAAAGAAGTATAAAATCTGAAATGACAGTCTATAAAAACACGGCTAATTCAATCGGGGGATATTGATTCTGCTAAGCTAAGCTCCATATGGGGCTGGAGTTTCTCCCATAAGGCCAGAAATCATTTTTTGAGTGCTCGTATCAAATTCCATTTTAGGTCAAAACTGTGCAGTCGTCTCTGACAACTCGCATTAATCAGTCGGCTTCAGATGGGATTCTTCCTAAAAACAGAAGAAGAGCCGTTCGGGATGAAGTTGGAAACCTCTTTGAGTAAAATTTGGCAGCTGAGGAAGTAAGAGTAGATATAAAATATTACTGGAGTCATTAGGAAATAGCTTTTATTTCTGCTCCTTTACTCTGGAGAGTGATGCCTTTTCTCCAAATGTGAAATCTGCTGAGTCAAACTAAGAGATTTATACACTATTGTAAAAGAACCTTGTGTTTGTTGGCAGAGAAGGTGCAAAAATGAAAACTGGTAAGTGATAGAAAATTAGACAAATAAGAGGGAAGTTTACTGCTTTGTTAATAAAAATAAACCAGCACTTCTGTCACATTAGGCTCAACGAAGGCCAAGAAACCAGACTGTGAAGTACCATTAATGAGAACTGACCTGGATATAAGACAGAAAGACTCTTACAGACCCTACATTAACCCTTACATACTGTTCATATTTTATGCGACTTCCTGTCAAGAGTTCCCTCATACTAAGTGTCTATACCAAAGTTTAAACTACAGATCTATTTAGACTGCCTAAGTAGCCGATGTCACATTATTAAAACATGGTCTGTACAGTTTCACAGTTTCAAAATTCCCCTAAAACTACCATTTTCCTTGGTTTGACCCACACTGGTAGATTTAAAATCCATCTCAGTGGTCAAATTTGACCCGAAACAGCCTCAGTGGACAAACATTTGTAGCACCTGTACTAAAGTATAATATTTTTGAGTCACTTTAGGAAATGTCATCAAATTTCAGGCTAAAAGAACGACGTCTAGAGTATTTATAATCTCAAAATGGGTCAAATTTGACCTGAAACAGTATGTAAGGGTTAAAGCACACCCTTTTTCAGTAATGAAAACCCAGGTTGATGTGTTTTGTTTTGTTTTTTCAGTTCAGTTGTGCTCAGTATGTCAAAATGCCATGAATCATAAAAAAGTAGAAAAAATGTAAATTACATTTTCTTTGTGCATTTCTATTATAAAAATGTTTAAAAACCCCAAATCACCATGTTCAACATTTCGGTCTACAGGTGTTACCATCACTGGAGAAAATAGGGCCTCGTACATACTACAGATATCTTCTTACTCACATTTTTACAACCTCTACAAGCTTTTTCATGCTACACTCTACGACTCACCATGTTTCATCATGCTGGATGTATCTTCTAACAACCTGCTCCTCTGTTCATCATTTCTGAGCCGAGCTGCATTTATTTTATCGGTCCAGTGTGTTTTATTTGTGTTGTGACTGCTTTGTGGAAATACAATCTACAGTTAAGGAAAATATTCACAGATTTTTTTTTTTTGTCCTGTGACAGTTGATCACAGCTGAGTCACTAACGGCTGATGAGTTGTTTGGTTTTTATCGGATCTGGTCCAGAGAAAGGACATTTTTAGGCTTAGATTTTAGTTAATTTTCCCGATGGAACCACACGTCACACATAATTTTTTTCAAGGACTGTTGGAAAGTTCAAAATAAGGGACAACAGGCCTTTCGAGCTCACTGGTGGGTTTTGGGGTTCAGAGGATTAACTTTGACCTCTGAGTTGGTGCAATAAGTGTTTTTTTTCCATGATGGACTAACAAGAGACTTAGTAGGCCACAAAACAATGGATTAACTAATACTAGTTTTTGCTGGATACCTTCCAACCCCTCAGGTGAGTCAACTGCTGGCAGGTGAGGACGTTTTCTCGGCTCTGGACAGCGTTTTGGAGAGAATCAGCGACCTCCAACAACTGGTGTCCACCTGGTCTGAAAATCTATCCGAAGACGACTGTCAAAGAGGCTCCTCCTCTTCTTCTACTTCCTCCCAAGACTCACCTGCCCACGGCTCCTCAGCCGCCTCACCCTGCCCGTCCTCCCCCAGCCACATCCACCTGGAGGTGCAGCATCGGGAGGAGGCGGACGACTGCGAGAAGACACCTGTGAACGGGGAGGAGTCCAAGACCAGATCACCACAACCAAGGAGCAGGTGAGTGGAAGGCAGCTAAACCCAGCCGTGTCACATGTCAGATACTGTAACTCCAAGTGTTTCACAAGTGTTGGTAAAAACACATCAGGGTCATTAAAAGGATAAAGTCTGGGCAAGGAAATATAAACACATTCTTGGATGCTTTAAGTAGCCCTGGACATATGTGAGTTTAAGCGGGCCGCTGATGCTGACAGTTATGGGGATTTACTCCCTCAGGCATCAAGCAAAGTAAGAGTAAAGTTAATGTGAGGCACTAAAGATAAAAGCAGCAACCTCATGCTGCATATTTGTTTTCAGATATAGAGCAGTAAAAAGTTATGAAGCCTTCCCTGTAACGTAGAGTCAGCTACTGATGGACACTGCTTTGTTCTGTTTTTCTGTTCTGCGTCTGTTGAACTGGGCTGGTTTTGACATGAACCATCACTCTAGTTAACATGGATGTCCCAATGTGATCACGGCATTTTCTAACTGATCAGTAATGACACAACAGTAAACTTGTTTACATCCGCTGTCACATAGGTGTTGTAATGGTGACAATTCATGGAAGGATATTAGGGATGCAAATCTATGATTGGCACAGTGTTGATTAATAACAGATTAATTGATGACACAAATGAAGCCCACTGGATATTTGTCCTGTGCTGAAATTACGGTTTTAGTCAACGGCCACCTCATTTGGGCCACAAAGGCAGCTATGTTGCATATGTGATATAAGAACACTGTTTATCTCTACTTGTCTTAAACACATGAAATCTAGCCGGAGGTCATTAGGCATCACAGTAGTCTCTGTCATGGTGGCCCATTGCTAGCTAAACCCCCAGAATGGTTTTAAGGCAAGCTAGAATCGACTAGAAACATGGTCCCACTCAATTCTGCTTTGTCTTAAACACATGAACTCTGGCCAGAGGTGATTAAGTGCCACAGAAGTCTTTGTCATGGCGGCCCATTGCTAGCTACACCCCAAAAAAGTTTAAGACGAGCTAGGATCAACTAGAAACATGGTCCAACTTGATCCTACCTCGTCTTAAACACATGAGCTGTAGCCGGAGGTCATTAAGCGTCACAGAAGTCTTTGTCATGGTGGCCCATTGCCAGCTACACCCCTACAACAGTTTTAAGGCAAGCTATGATCAACTACAGACATGGTCCCACTTGATCCTAGCTCGTCTTAAACACTTGCGGTCTGGCTTTGTCATGGTGTCCTTTTGCTGGCTAAACCCCACCGTGCTCTCTGTTGCCAACACAGAACTGCCTGTCGTCCTAGTGTTCACCTCTTCTGGTCGATGCATTTTTAGAAACCATGAAGTTTGATTTTTATAACTTTAAAGTGCTTGAAGTGTGGGTTATCTAGGAAAATTATATCAGATTGGGACTTGGCATCAGCAGATACAAATTTTTGTAATTTAAAATTTATAAATCTATCACTTTCTCTGAGACATGATGGGTTGCTGTTGTAAAACTTGTTTGCAATTCCCACTGTGTGTCCAGCAGGGTGAGCCAGCAGCTGCACTGGTCCAGCGAGCAAAGCCTGCCTTCCCTGCCCTCCAGTCCAGGGGTGGAGAACCAGTCTGCCTCCCAGTTCCTGCTGCTCCAGAAACTCTCGCTGCTCAAACTCACCGCTCTGATGGACAAATACTCCCCGTCCAGCAAGCAGGGCTGGAACTGGTAAGAAGGATGAAGGTTCGGAGGGGATTGCGGTTGATTCCATGCGTGAAAAATAAAAGTGGGCTGAGGTTAGTGAACACAGCAGTATTCTTAGACTTCTGCACAGCTGTGTGGAGAAACTTCCTCAAGGAATCAGGAGGGTAAGGAAGGGTGGGCGGAGGGTAAATATTTCAGGCGGCCTATTTAGAAAAGGCATTCATTATTCATGGCTCAGGTGCAACCTTGCCTCGGCTTTAAAAAAAAACACACAACAGCAACGCGCTTCAGGAGGAATAAACTTGCTTCCAAATAACCACCACCGGTGCTTCTACATTCATGGGAAATCAAAGGGAATTTCGGTTCCGTCGTCTTTTCTGCTCACTGGTTAACTGCTGAACCACTGGGGCTTATTTTGGACTTCTTCAGTGGGTCAAAGCATGTCACTGTTTTCATCTCTATCACTAAATCAGCAAGCATGTCGTATTTCATACCAAAGAAATGTGCAAAGTCCCAGAAGTGGAAAACATCCTGAATTGGCAGCCGCATTGGTCCAAGTGTTTGTAATGTCCCTAAACATGTGGTGGTGAAGGTACGGCAAGCCCAGAGGGACAGTGGGAGCAACAGGGACAAGATTTAAGACACAAACTGAAGCCTGTCTCCCTTAACGAAGACTTTGCAGAGCTCAAACTGCAGCTCGTTTGAAACTCAGGGCTGCGCTCATTGTTGACATACATGAATTTAATGAGATCAGTGTTTTGCCTCCTACACGGTGTTTTCAGAATAAGCCCTCATGCAAAATCGAGACAAATTCATTTTTTATAATAATAAAACATTCAGATATTCCGCTTGTTTACTTTGCTGAGCATTTGTATTTTATAATGTGCTCCGAGTGAACACATGACCCGCTTGTTTTATGCCGCGGTGGAAAACCAATTTGTTTTTTTTTTGCCGAGGGTGTTATGCTCAATGAGATAAGGCTGAATGTGGGAACTGAGCACCAAGAACCAAAAAAACCCTCCTGAAATTACTCCTCGTAGATATTCGTCTTTAATTTTCAGGATCAGACGGGGGGTTTTGGAAGGAGATGTGGGAAAAATGCGTCTCAGCAGGTTGAAAAAAGGCTTCCAGTAGCTCAGGTGTCGTGTGTTTTAGCATTTCAAAGTGCTTTATTTTGAGAGTTTAAACTTCGTAAACGACGCAGAGGAGGGAGAAACCCTGTCGGCAGTGACCTCTAAGGCAGAAAAGAAAGAGAACATCAAGTTAACGCTTGTAAATAAGGACAAACTCTGAAGTACAAAATACTTGTTCTGACACGAATTACGTCGCGTTCCTTCAGCTCAAACTGGATTATGTGGCAATAACACAACGAGTCCTTGTTTATGAAATCAAGGGAATCCGTATGAATTTGTTTAGAGGTGTGTTAGTTTGGTAGTTATGTAGAAAAACTTAAGCCAGACTTACAGGTCACCAACACAGTGTCAAAGTTTGAACTGAAATCTTCATAAGACAGAATAAAAAACCTGAAACCACCCTCAGATATTTCCATTAAGGTCGCAGCCTGCATTAGCTGAAAATTAATCAGTGAGCGTTACAGGTGCTGGTAGGTGGATTTTGTTTCGCCGAGGCCAGAGGCGTTCTGTTTCCAGGAACACCTGGAGGGAATTTCTTCCAATTTGTCAAAAAAAACTTTCATTTGGACTCACTGATTAGAGTTTGATGAACACGTTTTTGGAGTTAACTCAAGAATTTGTGCACTAATTATGGTAAAGTTTCACACAAACGTTCCAGCAGGTTTGAAAGGCACTTTATCTTCACTAAAAGATGACCATCTATCGAAGCCAGAAGCTGTAAACATTTGTACACTAGGTTTTGAAAAGAGCTGTATAGGTTTACCTGCTCGCTTGAACAGCTGTTTTTCCTTGTTTCCAGTACTTGTGCTAAGCTAAGCTAATTTCCTGCAGAATGTGGAATAGCATCATCTCGTCAAACTTTTTCTCAAAATGTAAAACCATGGCTTTAAGTGCAAATCTGTTGGCTAATTTTTGCTGGAAACCTTGATGTTTTGTCTGTGTAGACAATAAAAACTGGGATTTTTACGTGTAAGTTTGAGGATGAAGAACTTGGAGAATGAAATACATGACGTAACAGCAGCAGGTGTTGAATCTACAGCGATTTAAACCAAGTAGTCGCATCAGCTCTGTTGGGCCAAATGCTCCAGCAAAAGAAGGAGAAAAAAGGAAAAAAAACCCTCCAGGCTTCGACAAGTTGCTCCAGTCTCCTCATTTCAATGATTTAATCACTGATGCCAAAGTGAGCACTTGATGATTAAAAATACAGCAATTAACTGCTGATTGGGACGACTGATACTCGGCGGCACATTTCCTCAAAATAGCCGGTTTGTTTCTGGGAGATGTGAGATGTTGAAGAAAGATCCGGAGGGTTGGAAGCAGAGCTGGAAAGTATTCAGAGAGTTTGTGCTTCTGTACTTTGGAGAAAGTATCGGCGGCGACACGTGACTTCCTAACTCTCAGGATAATGAGCCGAGCGGAGGAGAGGTTTCAGTTCTGATTGTTGAAGTGCTTCGCGGCGCTCTTTCATTAAACATGACTATTACAATACTGCAGTGTTATTCAGAGTGCACTCAGCCTCACACTTTTACAGCATCAGAGGCTGAAAAGCGTCGCAGCTTTGTCTGCAGTTTCCTCGGCGGCATTAACGGTGAAAAGGTTGCTGATATCAGTTCAGAAACATGAACAAACTTCAGCTGTCCCTCAGAAAGTCCTTCCTCTTTGATCGACGTCCACGGCTCCTCCATGTTTTTTTCCCGCAGTGCTGATTTGAATGGCACGAACATTTTAGCAATCACCAGGGACTTACGTAATCAGAAAATGTTTATTTGGCTCTCCCTTCAAAAGGAACACATGCAATGGCAGCCAAGACGAGCTTTTTTTTTTTTAAACACTTGACTGGCTGAGAGAACAAATTCCCCCGAATGTCTGCAAAACAATTTTTGAGTATACATTAATTTCCATAACTTCTCTCTCGGCTCCAGTCCCCGCTGTTTGATTTCTTTCCTCAAAAATCTGAGGATGTGGGGATCTAACGGAGGCCTTTCTTGCCCGTAGGACTGTTCCCAAACCGCTGAGGAAAACCAAGGCGACGGAGGTGAAAGGCCGGCGGGTGTTCGGGGTTCCTCTGCTGCTCAGCGTCCAGCAGACCGGAGAGCCGCTGCCTCCGAGCATCCTCAGAGCGCTGGTGTACCTGAGGACCGAGTGTTTGGACCAGGTAACCACACCAAGCCGATGCAGAGAAAAACCCTTCAAAGAGCTTCTGAGATCATCTTGGGTTATCTGTTATCTGGGGGCTTTTTGTGTGCAAAAAAGTCAGAAACTGTAGAGTTTTGTGACTTTTGTGATGCTGAACCATTTTCACTTTGCTGCAGGTGGATAATTTAAGATTTTGTTTTATATATACAAGAAGGACTCAAATAGACGTTGAGTATTTCATTTGAAACTAACCTTCAACTCAGCGTCTTTTTTTTTTTTCAGAGGTCAAATGTTTTTGTTGCAGAAATAAGATTTTGTTTCCTCTGTAGCAGTTCATTGATTTCATAAATGGAACACACTGTAGTTTTAAAAATACATAGCATAAAGATAACCTAGTGCTATCTTCATTTTAGATGTTAAAAGGGTTTTGTGGCTCCCAGTGTTTTCTTTTCTGCAGGGCACGGGTCCAAATGGCTCTTTGAGTGTTGAAGGTTGCCGACCCTTGGTATAGATTGTAAAAGGAAACTTAATAAACCCACCTCTGTTCTCACATACATGGTACAGTCTGCTACCCCCCTCCTATAAAGAGCTTTGGAAGCTTCCACATCTTGTCTGACAGTCAGAGCCTTTAAAATGGTGCAGTGGAGATACACAACAAACATTATAATGAAGATTAAAAATGCCTGAACTTGGATTTGTGTGTCTGAAGTGTAGTTAACTCTGTTGCATGAAAATTAAAATCAGTATGCAGACAGAAATGAGCAGAAAAGGCCTGAAATGTCAGCAAGCGTTGAAAAGCCTCTATTGTTCAACAGGTCAGACAACAACGGTTTGTGTTGCAAACTTTATGCACAAAATGCAGCTCTACTGCTTCAGAACAGCCCAAACATTGCAGTAAATTTAAAATAAAACAAAACCATTTTATACAGTCAGCATTTTAAGCTTGTTTCTGCGGTTGTCTCTTCCACAGGTGGGTCTTTTCCGGAAGTCAGGGGTGAAGTCTCGTATCCAGTTCCTCCGTGAGATGGTGGAGTCCGACCCAGACGGCGTTTCGTACGACGGTCAGTCGGCCTTCGACGTGGCCGACATGGTGAAGCAGTACTTCAGAGACCTACCTGAACCCGTCTTCACCAGCAAACTGTGCGAGTCCTTCCTCCACATCTACCAATGTGAGCAGATCACAGTCGCATTCTTCTTCTTCGAGTGCATTTAATTGAAGGGCTGCACAGTTAAGGGAGTTTTATTCCCATTTTTGGCTTCTCGTAAACATGATTGATTGCAATATTGACATTTCAAATGCGCCGCTCACAGTAAACAACCCTTGTTTCAGCTTGACTAAATATGATATTAGAACACCTGTCACTTTTTTCTTGTGCCGTAGCCTACATGTGGTGTTTCAGAAACATCTGTGAATTGTAGTGTTTAGCAATAAGCAGATGTTCACAAAGCCAGGAGTTTTATCTCTATTTAGCCTGAAGTAGGTGCAACGAATTCTTATTTTGATGCAGATTGGTACATTGGCAGGAATGTAGTTAGCAGTGGTCTGTTTAATAAATGTGAAAGTACCACAAAAATATTTCGTCTCTAAAATCAGTTCAAAACTGTGTTAAATAATGGTGATCTAAAACAATAACTCCAGTTTGGCTATAACCGTGCAGCCCCAAAGACACGTTCTCTGTTGGCATGGTCTTGCAGTGACACTGCAAAGTTGTGTAAAGTCAGATCTGAATGCCATCCAAAGCTCTTGTTTTTTTTGCCAGTGTTACGGCATCTATCCTCATAGTGTTGGGTTTAATAAATCTGTGGGAACTAACGTCAGTGTGCCAACTTTATAGACCTTAAAACTCTTCAGCTTTCTGTTATCTTTGTTTTTGCACATTAATAAATAAATCGGAGTCGTAAACCTCGAAGATAACCACAGGTTTTTCAATCAAGTTGGAAGAAAGATACACATTTTATATGCAATTCCATCGTCTTTATCCTAATTGAACCCACTTTCACTATTAAACGTCAAATGCTTGTTAGTGTGATAATTATGATGACGTTTACCATCCACATTGACATACCTGCTATGGACGCAAATTTGAACAGTTTTTCTTAACTGACAGCAAAATTTGTAGTTAATATTCAATCAATACATCCATCCACCGCTTAATCCTCACTAGAGTCATGGGGGGCTGGAGTCTTTCCCAGCTGACAGGGCTACACTTAGAGTCAGACAACCAAGCACACTCACATTCAGACCTACAGACAATTTAGAATCACCAATTAACCTCAACATGTTTTTGGACTGTGTGGAAGGAAGCCGGAGAACCCGGAGAGAACCCACGCTGCACGGGGAGACCATGCAGCAAGATCCTCACAGTGTCATTATCCTCACCGGGAGGTGAACTGTGACCTTCTTGCTGCAACGATGCCAACCACCGAGCCACCTTGCAGCCCCTCAATCAGTACAGCAAACATTAATTCATATAGGGATAGCATCTTTTTTGACCACAGATTTGTGCCTTTAGTGGCAAAAATGTCTCAATCGTAACACCTAGTAAAAGAAATGCTGCCCCAAAAATTCTTCAGCCATGTTTTACAAATGTAAGCACTGACCAGATCCCAATAATCATCACAGAAGTCTTTATCATGGTCTCCTTTTCTAGCTAAATACCCACAATGCTCTCTGCTTGCCAACACTGAGGTTCCTGTGGTCTGATTTATCTTCTGCCTTATTGGTTAATGTATTTTTAATTTGTTAAATTATTAAAAGCAATTCATCGACTTACCTTATATCCAACCTGCACAAGCTAATTTGAAGGTCTATTGTTAAATTATGAACAAATAAAGTGTTTTGTTTGCCTACTTTATTAAATGATACTGCAGATCCAAATGTCTGATTTGAACCTTTCTGGATATATGTCTAAGTCTGTGTAAGAATAACAATCGTTCCGCCTGCAGATTTTCCGAAGGATCAGCAGCTGGTTGCGGCTCAGGCGGCCATCTTGCTGCTTCCCGACGAGAACAGGGAGGCGCTCCGAACGCTGCTCTTCTTCCTGCGCGACGTCGTTTCCTGCGTGGACGAGAACCAGATGACTCCCACCAACATCGCCGTCTGCTTGGCGCCGTCGCTTTTCCACCTCAACACCCTGAAGAGAGACGCCAACGCTGCCAGGTGAGCCGAGAACTCGGTCTGCCGCCGCCTTTTTGGCGCTCCGTCATCTAATCGGCTCCGTTAACCACTTTGCAAAAACTGCAGTTACACCTTTGATGATGGGAATTTTGCACCATCTTAGTGTAGGATGGAAATGAGTGGTGGTCTGACCCACATTGTCGCAGTTATGTAAGTTAACCGCGGTTACATAAGACCTCTGCTCTTAGGTGTCGAGTCCAGTCGGCTGCTGCGTGAAGCACTTCAGTTTAAAATGAAAGGAAATGGAAATCAGAATAATGAGATTTCTTGGAAAGCTGTTCTTCCCTTTGAAAGCTTGTATGGCAGGTTTTAACATAAATTGTTCATGTTTATATTTAATCTGGAGCTCATTTTGGTCCAGTTTTCTCGGATGAGTGTCCTTAACGTACCTCTACGGGTAGTTTGTCCTCCTCAAAAAATGTAAATCTGACCCTTTATTCACTGTATTGGAGTAAAAGCAAGTGCAAAATCTTCCTCCTGTAGTTCTGTAGCTGCTGTTAGTGCCACTTATCACAGCCTTTTCCTCACTAAATGAATTACTGACATTTAGTTATGAGCATATTATAGTTGTTTTCGTGTGGTTCACTTTTGAGCCGCTGCCTCGGTTCCGGCTTCAGATCCTGACTCTGGTTTGTTGCTCTGAATGTGTGTCGGCTGGTAACCGTGACAGATTACCACTTAGGTGCCACAGAAACATGTTGATTTTTCCTCCTTTTGTTCCTTATTTGACGTCAACTTTCCAAACTCCTCCGTTCTCACAGATCACGTCACCTCTGGACCACATCCAGCTTTTATACACTTTTTTTTATTTTCCCTCCTCTCTGCAAATGAAAAACGTTCAGTACAGTTTACACAGAGAGCAAATTACATAATGTCCACCAGTTTCCATCTGGCCTCAGCTTCACTCCCTGATTGGAAAGATAGTCTCTTCCAGCTGAGAATCCGGTTTTGAAAATGAGAGGAAAGGAGAAACGGAGTAATAAGGGAGATAAAAATGAGGGCAGGGAGTAAGACTTATTACGAGATACTTGGTTCATTTAATGCCAATTTACTGCACATTAGTATTTTCTATTGCAGCTTTCTCATGTTTTTTTTTTGTTTTTTTTTGCATAACATGCCCACATGCACATTCCCCCAACTTTATGCAACAGTGTGTGTTGTCTGACAAGCAAACTGGCCCATATATAGTAACTGTATGGACACAGGGCACCTATTTTTGATTACTGATATAAAATAATCTAGAACATGCATTTTATTCATAATAATGTATGTTGGAAAAAACATCATCATATAGTAAGTTTTAAAAGTCTTAGTGTAGTATGTTGAGAAAAATGTCACAGTATAGTATGGTAAAAAAAAATCATCGTATAGTATGTTGAAAAAGCTCAAAGTAGAGTAGGTCGAAAAAAGTCATAGTATGTTGGAAAAAGTCATATTGTAGTATGTTAAAAAAGCATACATAGTTTATTATGTCAAATAAAACGTCATACTAATCTATCGTTAAAAGTTTCGTCCATCTACAGACTGTGATGTACTTTGCCATTAATGTTGTTTTACATCACCTTGCCGTAGAATTAAACTCCAACCTTCATCTTTTCTCTCAGCCTTCTTGTCTCTGTCTATCCTCTCCTGCATCACTTCTCGTATCTCCTCCACGTTTCCTCTGCAGGCTGACGAACAGATGATGGAAATGACACAATCATTACTTTGTGCCTCCGTTTTCACGGAAGCTCAAGTCAGAAATCGTGTCACACTTTGTGCTGGGAACAGTAATTCAGAAAGTTGACCGCAGCGTGTTGCGGTTTCCCACCGACCGCGAACGTCTCATCTCCCCACTCCCACCGAGATGTTCACTTTTTAATGGTCCACCCACCCCTCAAATCAACCGGGTTCGTTTTAAGCGTCGGGGTGGAAGTTCCCAGCTAACCTTTTACAAACTAAAACAGAAACACACACAAAAACCATATAACTTTATTTCTGACTTCTATAACTCAGCCTCAGCAAACGCACCATGAAAGCTTTCTAAAGTAACTGGTATTTGTCAGCTACATTTTTCATATGGTGGATTTAAAAACAAAAAAAAAAAACAGACCAGAAAATAGACTCGTTGTTTTGTTACATAAATACATCCAGGGTTTTGTTAATGCATTTGTCAACAGTCGCAGGTCTTCTTCTTCAGCTTTTTGTCTTTATTTTTTAATCATTCACAAAAAAGTCTGTACTTAACGATAAAATCTTATAATACGACTTTATTAGACTTTATAAACAATACAAAAACAATACCCAAATTCAGTTTTCAAATCACATTTCTTGTCAGATAGTTTCTTCGTCTCTACTTGTGTTTTTTGCTCCCGTCACATTTTTATTTAGTTTTTTTGGTTTAACTGAATTATAAAGTCCTGCACTTCTATGGAAACAGAAGAACCATGACTAAAAGTAAAGTACCAAAAACATTCACATTGCGCTCAGGTCAGAGGCCATTAAGTGTCACAGAAGTCTTTGTCATGGTGCCTCTTTGCTAGCTTAAACCACCACAATGGCCGCCTCCTCTGCAGTATCAAACCGTAAGAGGCTCCACCTGCTGGCACAACCAGGTATTGCACCTGATCGGCGATACTGGACATGTGTGTCATTTAGTAAAATTGACAGATTCTGAATCATATCGGTGTCAAACAAGCAGGACGTTCTTAGTACTCAGGGTTTTGCTGTGCTGGTTCCAGTTTGTTTGCCGTCTTTAATTTAAAGAAACCTCCTCTTGCTGCAGGTCCAGGAAGTACAGTCTGGGCCGGCCGGACCAGCGGGACCTGAGTGAGAACCTTGCCGCCACCCAGGGCCTGGCCAACATGATCACCGAGGCCCAGAGGCTGTTCCAGGTACCAGCCACAAAGGCAGAAACTAACCAGCACATTGTAGTTTCAACACAAAAAAAATCTAACAAAACCCTCTCTGCAGCTTCCAGAGTTTTGGCCTGGCCAGAGTTTAGGTGCTGCAGGCGTCGCTGAGGACTCCCACTGTGAGGAGTCTGGAGGAGGTCCGGCTCCTCCCAGTCAGAATGGAGGTTCAGAGGAGGAGCAGCTGGAGGAGAGGAGGAACAAGCTGCAGCTGAGCACCCAGCAGCTCCTGAAGGAAGCCCGGGAGAAGAGTCGAGGCTGGGAGAGCCATCCAGCTCCGGAGGGCGTGGAGCTGGCCTCCAAGAAGGTGAACGAAGGGACGGGAGTCAGATCTAGACGAGGTGTTTGGGTCGTTAGTTGTAAAGTCAAGCAAATCTGGGAAAAGTTCCCACCTGACCAGAATCACCTCAGAAATATTTAAAGAAGTGATGCAAAATGCTGCCTTCATCCTATGAATATGTTCAGTTATGGGCCTGTGAGGTACAACGGGGTGGCCTGAAAAATCTTCTTACTTTTTCAAACAGTTTTGAGCCTCATAACTTTATAGGACAGACGATAGATGCGTGAGATTTTCAGGGCTGAAAAACACAGTTAAGTTCTGGTTAAAAAAAAAAAAACTGCAACCAAATGAATTTTACCAACCAACTTTGAGGATCAGGATTATTAAATGTATCGTAGCTTCAGCAGAATAAGCACTGGTAAACTGGATTAGTTGTCTGTTTTCTGAGACATAAAACTTGATAGTTAAATGTCCACCAATACAACAACAGTCATGGACCACATTTTTAGGATCCTTGCTTGTCGCAACAAATTTGTTGGCTAAAGTGCAAGACTCATGGTTTTAAAGGTTTATTCCGCCCATTATCGTACTTTGGAATGAAAAAAGTATGGTTTTAATGACTAATTTCATCCAAAAATGCGACTTTCTGCCCAAGTAATTCTAGTTTTTTAAGTTTATTCCACTCAACTAGCCCAATTTATAAGGCACGAGTTACAGTTTCAAAGGTTTAATCCAGTCAAGTAGTTCCTACTAACGAATGAATGAAGGTTTTAAAGGTTTATTCGACCCAAAATAAAAGATTATCAAGGCTAATTTTCCCCAGAACACTAGTTTTTGTCCAAATAGTCATTGGTTGAAGTGTTTACTCCAGTAAACTAGTACTTTTTAATGAAAGAAAGATGGTTTTAAAGGCTAATTTGACCCATACACTACTTTCTGTCCAAGTGTTTCTAGTTTTAAAGTTTTTTTCCACTCAAATAGCACTTTCTGAAGCATGAGTTGTAGTTTCAAAGGTTTCTTCCACCTAAACTATACATAGCTCTTGTGTGTGTGCCAGAAAAGCAAGCTCCTGTTTAGAGTAAATAAGTGGTCGCCGTGTTATCTGGCCCTGAAGCAGTCAATGAAAGACAAACGTTCTTTATCTCAACTTTGGGAAAAGTTCCTGAAGCCACTTCTCCATTTTTCTCTTGTAGATATCCAAAGTGTTGTTAGTTTCTTCTTCCTCTTTCAGGTTTTTTAGCAGCAAACAAGTGGTTTTGTTCTTTATATTACAGCTGTTGCCTTTACCTAAACCTTCCTGTGACGCTAATCGGCCTAATTTATCTGCTGCAAAACAATTACTATAAACAAGGCGAACTCACATTTTCTTTCTTGCTTTTTTGTTGTCAAAAGTTTGCTTTCAATGTATTTGTGTGAAATTAAATGGAAACACGGCTGCAGTAACGTGAACTAAACCTCTGCAGCACCTGGGCGGCAGGTTTAGTGCAGAACAGCGTTTTCTTTAATATTGATTTGACATTTTATTGGATTAAAGGCTCCAGCTGGATGAAATGATGTCAGTCCAACACAGAGAACAACAGCAGCTTAGTTTAGCTTTAAGTTTTTCTGTCCGTTGGCCTTCAGGTGGACGACGGCTGCCCGCTGTGGATGTGGCGAGGCTCTGTGGAGGTGGACGCCCCCCAGATCGAGCTGCTCCACCGCCTGCTGAGGGAGCAGCAGCTGTGGGAGGGAAATCTGCGTCACGCTGCCGTCATCCAGACCTTGTCCAAGGACGCCGACGTGTACCGATGCCTCCTCCAGGGCCGCGGCCACGAGCTAGGCTCCCAGCCGCTGCAGGAGCACCTGCTGCTCAGGTATCAACAAGCGCACTTTGTCCACACAACCCCTTTACAAAACACGCTCTACAAAGCGCTTCACGGGGGGAAAAAGAAAGGTAATGATGTAGTGTGAGCCTCGGGCCTCACCTGCCGAGCTCCACGGAGCGAACAGGACGCAAGAGTCAAAGCAGAAAATACCCTCAAAGTGTCGGTTTGAGTTAAAGTGAAACACGGCAGCACTTCTTGGTGTGCGTGAGGGTTGAAGGTGGTTGCTGAAATTTTAATCCAACCCTGGAGTCACACGAGACACGACGGTGTCTGTGTTGGCAGTTGGACCACACCGCTGGGAATCCATTTCCTCCCTGAATGATGGCGCACATGAACTTTGGGTTAAGAGATTAAAATGATGCGTTCAGCCACGGCGCTTATTTTCAACAAGTCCAGTGAAAGAAACAAAAGCGAGTGTTGGTGTTAGAAACAGGCAAAAGATGTGTAGTTTTCTTTAAGTTTCTGCAGTAACTTCTATTTAGTGCCAAATAACTTCTCTTGAAAACATCACAGAACCAGGGTTTAACTGAAGAAGACACTTTAAATTTATTGGTGTAAATGGCTGTAATTAACTTCTAAAATTAAATGCACAACTGTTATTAAAGTTAACATTAACATCAATGGAAACAGAACCACCGTGAAGACAGAGCGGGTCGGTTTGACACAGTTAGAATAACAGACATGTATACACTGCCTGCAGTTCAACCAAAAATCCCTAAATTATGGTTAAACTACTGTTGGTCACAGCTGACTCACTGTTGACTCACAGAATTTTTTTGATTTTTACAGCATCTGGTTACAGGAAATAGTTCATTTTTATATGCTCTCTAATTATATATATATAATTAGAGCAAGTTTCTGAGGCCCCAACACCACCCTTGTTTAAAAATATTTCCCGTTTTACCATTTTTAAGGGCCAACAATTGAAAGTTTGTCCTCTCCTGGAGCCATTCAGTCTTTTAGGTCTACTATAAAGAATTTCCTGACTGTGGAAGTTTTATTTCTGGATATATTAAACCCTTAAAGTGGCTAACGAGGTACAATGCTGTTTGTTTTTTTTTATTAGAGGTGGAAAGTACTGAAATTGTCAGGCCTGAAGGCATTGTCAGAATTCATCCACAATATTTTTACAGAATCAAGTTTCAGGTCCCAAATAACAAATAAGCAAACTGGTGCAGCAACATATTCTGTCTGAAGTGACACAGACTGATCCAGTTGGTCATTTAATGGGATTTGTTTACAGTAAATAACCTTTTAAAGCCGCTTCAGCTTTGTCATCTCCTGGTGTGCTAGTATGTGTATTAAAATTATAAGTGTCGGTTCTCAAAATTCAAATATACGCGTTAAAAACTGCTTTGGACAGACAGAAAACAGACCTTTTTTTTCCTCATTGTAATGTTTTGTGAATCTCACGTGAGTCCTCTTCTGCTCCATGGTCAGGACGTGGCAGGCCGACCCGTCGTCCAGCCCTCTGTTCCTGTCCTCGGTGTCCACGGACCACCCCGAGGTCCTGGTGGACGGAGTCCGGGTCCACGTCCACTGCTGCCTCTACCTGCTGGAGCCCACCGGAGCCAGGAAGACCCGGCTGACGCACCTGTGTCAAACCGATACCAGGTGAGAGGGAGTTTTAAAACCTTGCGAGGAGGTGGGGGAGGAAAGCAGAGTTATTAAAGCAGATTGCAATCCTGCTGAGAGCCGCAAAGGATTTAAGGCCGTGAGAAGCCCATTAAAGGAAATATCTGGAGAAAGCGCTTAGTCCGTCTTATCAGTCTTAATTGAGGCTGCTCTGTGTTCCTGACCTCTATCTGCTGCACAATCACCACCTCCCTGTAGGTGAGGAAGACGAAGAGGAGGAGGAGGAGCGACGCTGCTGCTCATGATTCATGCCCTTTGAAACGAAGTTGCTGCAGATTTTCTGCTGCTTACGTGATCAATTGAAGCCTCGGCGGAGCGCCGCCGCTCCATTCGTCTCAGCTGATTAAATGAAATGAAGCTTGGTGCAACAGAAAACAGGTGGCGGCACGGCGGCGTCGCACAGATCTCATCTCTGTCATTATACTTCACCGCAACAGTACGAGGAGGCTGCAGGTTCAGTCGATTTAGTTTGTAGCAGGAATTCAGTGCTTCTTCCTGAACGCTGCGGGTCGCTTTAACCGACTGTTAGATGTGTTGGAGGCAAGACTCGGTCAGAGTCTGGATGTTTCCATTAGATAGAGAATGATTGTTGGGGCTAGTATTCAGCAATTCTCCAATTATTAGCAAAATAAATGCTACTTTGGTTCTGATGCGACCAGCCACATCTGATTGGTCAGAAGTAACAGCCAATCAACACTTGATGAGCAAGTTTACAGAGCAAAGCTGAGTTTGGAGCTGTTTAAAGGAGACATTTAGGTTGTAAGAAACACCGTGATCTTCCACCAGCACGTCCAGTTTTACTGTTACACTGAAAACACCCAAATAATTCACTCGTTAGCGTCGATGCACCTGCAACTTATTTCGCTAACGACGCATCATAACATCTTTCTGAAGTCAGATTAACTTCAACAATCTGCAAAAACTGAACAAGAGACAGAAGCCATCAGTGCATCATTTCAAAAAACAATCAACCACCATTTTCACTTTTAAAAAAAATCCACGTACAAATCTTTTGCTGAAAGTCCGTCCTCGTGGGATTTACTAACTGTCCCTGAAATTAGCTAATCAAAGCCACTGAAAAAGGCAACGATGCGTCTGATCTATAACTGAGTAATTATCTCTGCAGGCTTTTAGTCGGCAACAACGCTGTTTGTGATTTTGTGGAGGACGAGTGCCTTCACTGTCGCTTCGTCCCGCCTTTAATTTCCTCTCACGGCAGAGCTCGGGCCAAACGTCTGCGGCTTATTTGCTGTTGCATTAATTTGAAGTGGTTGTTAGCTTTCAGGGCAACACACCGAATCCACGGCGTCGAGGTCGGGGCAGCTTTTTACAGTTCAGGCCTCTGAAACCGATCCTATCGCCCCGGAGGAAATTAAATACGGCCTCGGCGAAACGTGGACGTTTAGTTCGGACATAATGTTTAACTTGTAGATCATGTTTTACACAAAGACTTTC